GTTTTACTATAGTTTTCCCGAGCGCACGAAAGCTGGATTTCAGTTTCCAAGCGTTTTACCGCAGAATTACCATCGGTGAATGCCATGAAAACATGATGTTTGTTGACTATGAGAGCGATCTTCGCAGTAACAAACACGACCTAAGAGTGAGTGTCAGCAAGAATCAAACAAAATCGGAAACTAGCGGCAAAAATGTGAAAAGCGAAATTTGCTCAAACTCCGGCTACTAAATATATCTTATTAACCAAGCGCGAGGGCCGTACGGGGAGAATATCGGCCCGAGGTCTTGACAGTACGGACCTCGCTGTGCTCGGTCCGTAAAAAAAAGACCGAGGACTGATATTCTTCCAGTACGGTCCCGAGCAACCTTGGTTAATAAGAGATTTATTATACGACTGAAGTTCGAAGGGATACAAGAGCGGTATCATTCGGGACCATTTGGGACAATGCCCGGTCCAATACTGAGAGAATATTGACTGGCAATAGAGCGTTTTGATTTGTTGATTTTAGTTATTGGCCCTGTGACTGCCCAAGTTGTGTAATAAACACAGAATAATGATATTTTGTTCTTACATTATAATGTCCAGAGAGCTGTCCTGTATTCCTACATCAGATAGATGTTCCATCTCTCCAAGTTTAAAATCAGTGTTTGGTTTTGAATATCCAAACTGTTCAGCATGATATTCTACATACTTGTTAGCAACATCCACCTAAATGCAAAGAGAACATAATGAAAAATATGTTAACGTATCAATTGATATAGATTTTCTACTGGTTGCAACTAAAATATAATTTGATATGTGGAATTTGGAGCAATCTGGAATATTCACGATGAACCTTTGCTAATATACCGCAAAAACCCACAAAAAAGCTGCACCTTCTTTTCCAAAAATTGTTGCTAAAAATTGGTGGTGTGGCTTATCTGTGGGAACAATTGAAAAAGGTGTAATGAATGTCGATGCCAAATTCCAGTTTTCCATTTTCACATCCAATCTAATCCCTGGTTACTAAGCTTCAAATGTTCTGCTCATGTTTTTGTTGTAATTTAATGCAAAAATCTATTGAAAAACTGTGTTGAATGAAGAAATTCCTGTCAACAAACACCAGAAAAAGATCAATCGTATGTCAAAGTTGGTAGAAACCATGTTCATTATATTAACAGGGCTTGACACTAACTTTTCAACTTACTAGCCAAGTGGCTAGTGACAACATACAGTAGATGTTACAACAATTTCAGTTTGTTTACTACCCAAACTGGCTAGTGAGAATCGAAAACTACTAGCCAAAACTGAATTTCTACTAGTCTGTGGCTAGTTGGCTACTACTAGCATCGAGCCCTGATTAAAGCGCTAAAATTGTGGGTAAGACTTTGAACTATTTTCTGCTGCAATGTTAATAGTAAGTTTATGTTTGATGAACTGTGGATGAAGAAGACTTCTCGAAATTCAACTTTGGATTTCTTTTGATTTCCTTCAAAACTTTTTTTTCCAAAATTTGAGCTGCTAAATTCAGGATGCGGCTTATCTACAGGTGCAGTCTATACTTGATAAAGTCTGTACTTGAACCTATTGGCACACCCAGCCAGAGCTTCTCCCAGTTCCATCTGGCATGAAGCAACTAGGAGTACCCTTTTACTCCCCCCCCCCAGGATGGATGCTCATCCATCCCAAGGTTACCCCCACCCAACATTTGATCAGGCTTCCCTGACAATTTGTTAGTACCCATTTACACTCCTGGGTGCAGAAAGGCACTGCGAAAGTGAAGTCCAGTGCACTGAGCATTAGGCCACTGCATCTTACAGTGGAGATCCTACCAAGATACAGTAAGTAAGAGCATGCAAAATAGACAAATCTAACCCCTTAGCACCAGTCAAATACATTGAAGCAAAATTTGTAAAATGAAATACGATCAGATGATAATAATGTAGGAAATACAATTATAGCAGTTTTCCAATAGGTTAGGTTTAGAGAACAACTAGGGATGATTTAGGCTGATCCTGACAAAGTTATAACCTGAATTTGTTTCCTCTCCTTTTGATGATATTTCAAGACAACAATAATGAACCACAAAATGCAACAATGAAATAAATGTAGATTTATAAAGTAATATTTTTTTTATAAAAATGCTTCACTTTTTGCCATTGAAAATAATTATGAAGAATAGAGTTCAAACTCTTAAGAACAGGTCTTAACATACAGCTTTTCTGTGAGTGTTTACGGTATTGACTTCAGTTCATACAATTCATTATGAAACGTAGGTTTTAGCTGTACAACACACACTGTATGGTGGACTATACTGCATACCTGTTCTTTGGTCATGTCTACTCCAGTAACATGGCCATGTTCACCAACCAGTTTACTGAGTACAAAACAATCTTGACCGGATCCACTTCCAAGATCCAGGATCTTCATGCCATCAAGGGCTTCTGGAGCCACTAAACCACACCCATAAAACCTAAAATAAAACAAGGATTAAAAATCTTTCTTACCATTTTTGGTTGGGGTTAGAATTTCATAACATTTTGTAATAAATGTTATGAAATTAGACCCCAACCAAAGATGTAATAAATGTTATGAACTTAGACCCCAACCAAGATGTAATAAATTTCCAAACAAATTTAAAAATTCCCAAGCACAAGACTGTACAATTGCAGTGTTTTTAGTGTTCACAAATATCGATCTTTATGCAAACCCTTGAAAATGTGCTATTTCCAGCTTTAACCTTTTCAATCTATTTACCAATATAAATCGTGTGAAGTTTTTTTGGAGAATTTGGTATTAGATAACTAATAATCCCCTATTTAATATTTTTTCTTTTAAATACACGTAAGTACTGGGAATAAACCTCCTAAAACACAAAATCAGATCACTTCATATTAAGTTTTGACTTATAGTCCTCAAAATATGTACCACCAAGTTAGACCACTTGATGTACCAATGCTTTTTATTTTGGACATCAAACCTTCATTGAACACACAGAGCGACTCAATTTCTTGAAACTTTTTACTGAACACTTGCTTTTTTAACCTAACACTTAATTGTTATTTTACCATAGGCAAAAATAAAAACATTCTCTCCATTGTTTTTATTACTTTATATGTTTCCACTTGTCATTTTTATTAGCAATTTTGAAATGTCATAAAATGTTTTTATAGTTTTAAATTTTTCTTTATTTTAAGATTTTAGAAGTTCCATGTACTTTAATAACATTCTATTGTTGAACTTTGGCAATCAAATGACTTCAAGTTTCCTCTGAACAAATGATGAGGGTCATGTGTCTACTGAGTCATGCCATGTAATGTAAAACATTTCATAATATATGGTTGGCTTACAATGGACTGAGTAGCATATATCTTTGATTTCCCCTGTGGTAATCAACTGGTAGACAAAGTATTGTTTAAGTGTATTTCATGAGGTTTAATTACACAATGTTGCCTTGTGTAAAATTGTTTAATAGCTGCAACTTAATCACTTTACAATCAAATCAAATCTTCACAATACACGTGAGCCAGAAACAAACATCTAATATGTCAGCAAAAGATATTGAGTAACTGATCGTGATCTAAGAAAATCGCAAACCAAACTCCATATCATCTTTCAGCGATAGAAAAAGTTCAAACCCAAGTTTATAGACACTAATCATATAAATACAGGGTAGAAGAGAACAGAGCTACATACATGTATTTCAAGTACCACTTACGACACTGATTGAGCATGTGTCTACAATCAACTCATTAAGCTTTATAGCTTATTTGCGTCCAGAAAGACTAATAGATCAATAATAAGATGTGTAGAGTCACCATATGTCTATAAAATACAACAAAAGGAGAAATAGCTGTTCTTACTCTGTAACTCAGATAAGAGTATGGCCTCAATAGGCAGACACCCGTTAAGCTTATCGATGTCATTTGTACAATACACTCTTGGGCGCTAGTAATTATCAGCCTGAATAAGTAGATCTACATATCCAGAGATTGGAAACAGACCTCCTTTTTCCGTAAATTAACTCTAAAACGAACCATAAAGAAGATCCATGGCGTTTGATGCCGCAGTCCATGTTGCACTGACGCCATTATTGAACCAGTTGTAACCTTAGAAAATTTAATTGTTCAACATGGCGGACAGTTACGGACCAGCGTAGCGTGAATGTCCCGACTTCAAATAAAAAACCTTTAATAACGTCGCCGAAAAAAAAAAATTTCTACGAATTTGATCGATAGCACGGCTCCCTGCTATGGATTAGCTTACAAAGTTAAATAGCGCGATTCTCTTACTTGCTAGCTACTTCATCATGGATAAGCTTCAATGCGCTCTTCACGGCGGGAGTCATCTGTTTATCACCAAGCTTGCACGCGTTCGTCTGAAGATCATCCGAAGTCTTAAGTTTTTTACCATAGTAAGCCTTGACACCTTCTTTGACTTTCTCTGCACTTTCAGAGCTCATTTTTGGCACAACTGATCCAATACTTCTTTCTACGGTCAGCATTAGATTCCATCCACCAAAACCACCTCGGTCGAGAGGGACTGAGATGGAATGATGGACACCTCATGACGTATTATACGTATGCATAGTTATGAAGCTAAGAAAACATGCCTATTCATCCCGATGACCTGAGTGGACTGTTTGTTTGGAAAATTGCGTCAAAACTTTACACCCGAGAAATGGTAAGTACTAATTTATTGTTTGATGGTAGTATTACAAAACGTTTCGGGCAATTTTAGGCAGATACTTCCGATATTTGAAAGGTGCCAAGGTATTTGGTAGTTTTGGTGGATGTCGGGCGTGGACATCCACCAAAACAGTTATCAAAACCAACAACAGTACTTTTTGAATTTTATCAATGGCCAATGTTAGACCTTCAAGGAAGCAAAAGAATTATATTCCCCAAAACACTAGCAGTTTACGTTCTGGCTAATTATTTCTTATAATGCACAATTGCTGACCAAACGTTCATAATGAAATCATAAGACATGAAATTAGATTAAAGTGGTTTTGGTGGATGTTTCTCTCTCCATCCACCAAAACCACCATCATAACAATTTCTGTTACTTCCATTAGAGAGGAATGGTTTGACCTGCTACGGGAGTAATGAACCACAATTTATTTCTTTGTACATAGATATTTTTGCAAAGTTCTTAAGTCAGCAGCTTTTATTATTAAAACCATAATCATCACATGGTGTTCCATGTAGAATACAAAAGGTTTTGGTGTGGCAATCATGTACTCTTGAAATATGATAAGAGAGAGTTTTTAACTGATTTAACAGATGTTTGCAACAAAATTCCATATCCAGAAGTTTCTTCCTCTACTTCCTCTAAAATCATTACCTTTGAATACTACAAATCAGCACGTCAGTAATTGTTATCAGGGGTCTGAATATCTTACAAATCTTTCACATTAATTACAAGTAACCTATTTCACATGGATGATTAATTATACACTCAAGATGTAGAATAGTAATAGTTTAATATTTGTAGTGCGCAAATTCCATTTACATATGATCAAATGCTTTTTTTTTTTACATACAACATCCAAAACAATGGAGAGGATAAATTTAAATGGAAAATTTTATTAGTGGTTAAAATGAAAGAACATTGGAAGATCAAATTAACTTTATTACCCAAATTAACTTTGATTTCTTGCTTATGCCAGGCTCCTAATATTCAAAAGCATTATTATTTTTGTGTTCTTTTGTGTAACATAACTTGAAAAATAAACACAGAGAAAGGCAAACACAAAGGAATAAACTTGAAGCTAAAGCAAAGTTTAATTTGAGCCATAGCTGATTGAAATACTGAGCACTTAACCCATTTGGTAAAGTTCATGTTTTTGTCAGCCAGCTTGTCACAAGTCTTCCCCCTCTCCTCCAAAAGTCTCTATAAACAAATTTTACTAGGTGGTCCTGCCATGATGATCAGTATATTACAGCTCCTCAATTCTCAAGACAAAGTAACTCTGAATTTAATAATGTCATGGACTTGATAAAACTCTACCAATAACTGGCTGCTACTCGTAACATTAATTTCTTGATATTTAAACCAAACTGTTTTGAAGTTTTAATATTCTGTGATCTTTACATTTTTGGCATTGCCATTTCCTCTTTGAGTTGATTGCCCACTCTTGTTCTCCCCCCTCTTGAGTGAGACTTGCTTCCTCATCCAACTCATCTATAACAATAACGACAACAAAAGAAAGCGGTATGGTAAAATCAAGGGATGTCTCGTCAAGGCGGGGCAAAGCTCACAGATATACCATAAACAATACGCTATAAATAAGAACCCTAATGCTTCATTTTACAGTGATCACCTTCTTCTTTTTCATTTTCAGACCAAACTGGAACCTCCATAGGCGTGTTTACTTGTTCTGAGTAGGGACAAAAGAAAAAGGAATCAGCGTTGTACACTTTTCTCCACTTCTCTGTCTTTATGTGGACATTTTCCGGGTCAATTCTTGAAATGCGGTTTTTAACCGTAGCTCGATACACGTGCGTGCGCAGGTCAGATACATGTGCAGGTCAGATGTCCTAGGGAAGTATCGTCGGTTTGTGTCTTGTGCTGATCATCTCGAAACAAGACCTCTTTCACAAAGATTTTCAAATGCCGTCTCTTTTCATATATTACCTTAACTCCCCCCGCAACGAGCTCGTGGATCCTCTTGATGATCTTCTCATCAAGGGGTTGAGATATTCCAGCGACCTATAGAAATAAAAAACTCGAACTTTGAAAGTGCTTGCTATTTCAAGTGGGGACGCCCCAGTAATACACACCTATACGTTATTTACTCCTTTGCCATTTTTTTGTACTGTGTGAATGTTAGAAATTGTACTTTAACAACAACAAAGAAAACGAAATCATGGCAAAAAATGTACAGCCACTTTTATGTCACACCTTGACCGGCTTGCCCGCCGCGTACTTTTTTTCATTCACCGTTGCATTAATTCGTGTTGAACCCTAAGTTACCTCGCCAACGAAGTGATTCTGATGGTCTGTAATGAGAGTTAGTTCAATGTAAATCCTTCTTTCGTACCTAGCGATCCCTTGTAAAGCTTTTGGCAAATTTCTACACGCAGTCTCCCATCTCTTTTTGCTGTCTTCTTGAATCTGAAAGACTAAAAGTCATACATTTGAAAGAAAAAAATGGATGCCTTGTAAACTGAATGCCTCTGATGCAGTGCACAAATAAGCTCTTTCCGCTGCTTCAACTCAACTTTTCTGTCAGATTTTAAAATTGATTCATGGCGTTTATGTGGATGAAAAGACAACTTGGTGCTGGCAGTGTGTTAGCTTTGTTTGACCACACTGACTTCCAGACACAGAGAAAAAACATCAGGAAGCTCGAAGTGTCTTGAATAATCAAAAACGAGACCACCCAGTTTCGTTCCAGTCAATAAGCCGGTGATTATGTAGCATGAATTTTGGACAGTGATAACGCTTATCGGATTTATTAAACCGAATTCGTTCTGTCAATACATGGGGGGAACTACCTAGTGCTCTGCAAAAAATAAAAGTTCTCACATTTTTATCTGTACTTGCAGTCAAACTTCCCCGTGTCTTGAACGAGAAATCTTCTTCTCTTGAAAACGAAATCTTTGTGACCAGCCTTCTGTAAAAGACAAGTATATCAGCGTAAGATGAGTGATAGTGCATTTCTCAAGCTGTATATTTTTTGGAATGTGAAGAAACAGAAGTGTCATTGCGTGATGCCTTGAAAGATAAGGAGCCGACATACGACAGCTTGATAGAAATAAAAAAGCGTAGAATTGCGTTTATTTTCTCTTTTGTTNTGATCTGTTGTTAAATTGTGATGGAAGATAGGATCAGTAGAGCAAGGACGAGAGTGATACAAGCTAGCACGACGTAACGCTTTCAAATATATATGGGCATACCAGTGTTTCCGAAACCTTTGTCAGCCTTAAAGCAAGAAAACTTCGTCGTCGATCCTGTTTCGAATTCCGCAATGAGTTTATACGCCTCATCAACAGAATTTACGTATCCAAAATTATCCGCATCTCTACCATCAGGCACGCTTTAAAATTCCCGCCATATTGTTTCTGTTTGTTCTTCGGGTGTTCGGCTATGTCTTCGCGCGGATTTCCGAGAATCTTCGGTTATGATTTGCAAGTTGTTAAGTATTCCACCTCAGTCCCTCTCGACCGAGGTGGTTTTGGTGGATGGAATCTAATGCTGACCCCTTTTTACGGTTGTGGGCTTGGTGGCCAAGCCTTTGAACAGGAGTGAGGCTAAGGGTGACCCTGTCCCTGTTGTGGTAGAGACCTGTATCTAGTTAGCATGATATGTGATAACAAAGAAATTTGCATTTGAAAAGCAGCTACTCTATCATAACAAGATCACCCTTAGCCTCACTCCTGTTCGAAGGCTTGGCCACCAAGCCCACAACTGTAAAAAGGACTATTGTGAACAGAAAGTATTCCAAACGAGGGGTTCGCTCCTCAAAATTTTTACCTAGGTTTCCTTTCCAGATCCTCAGTGGATACTTCTGAACCGAGGCTGTAGTCTAACCGGTATCACCCCACCTTCACCACGTGGCTTTCTTTTTACTATCTTCATTATCTTCCGTCAAATTATGAACTTGCAAATTAGTGGAAGAAAAAAAATCAGACGAAACGTCCATAAAGCAGACGATTTTCTGCTCCGCCATAAGATATATGTCAAGTAACCAGTGTATAAAAAACTCATTCTGATTAGTGCAGGAGAGTCCATTTTACCGCCATAACACTCTACATCAAAAGAACCATTACAGCGCAACACACCTACGCAATATACATAAAAAAAAGGGCGCCAAAAAAAAATCTTGTGTTTGAACGGCCACGTACAGTCATGGCGCATATGAATAAGGACGACACACACTGACTGTCTTTATGAATCAGATAATCAAATAGGAAAAGATCAGAATGCAATTTACTTCTGACATTTAAGTCGTGATTAAAAACTACCAAGATCGTTCACCCTGAAGTTCTAGTCGATATTAGAGTACTTCTCAGTACTGATCTTCAGTTTTTGCAGCGTCCAGTTCTTGTAGCGCCTGACTTTGGACGGTTTCCGAGTTTCGGCGGGAGCTCGATTAATGATATCTCATGGACGCCCTTAACTGTGTAGCAATTCAGTGCAAGGGCCTTTTCACTTAGTTCAACTAAAGTTCTTTTTAATGGTAAATGAACTGATTTATGAGTTGAGCGCAATTTGGTTGGAAATCATATGCGCGAGTTCAATTAGAAACCACAAGTATCTTTTCAGACCAAAATTTCACGAAGGAAATCCCAACATTGAACCGCCAAAATACAGGATTTTAGTTGTCAAATTTCTTTTCATCCAGCACTGGGTTGGTGTTTTGTAAAAAAGTGCAGCCAGGAATAATACTCAAAATTCGCCATGCAAAGTCTTCTCTATCTTTCATTTTCCTGCAATTCGATTCGTCACTGACAACGCGGCCTTGAAATCTGATTGTTGTTTTGTCTTAGTGCTGCTCCCTCATTAACTGGGGAAAAGATGCGATTTAGAGCAAAAATAGAGCGATTCCTAATCAAATCGCACTACAGTGAGCCAATCAGATTGCAAGGATCACCAGTGATTTCTAAATGGATGTAAGAAAAGTCAAAATTTGCAAGCTAACAAAGGATTTAAGATCAAGAAAACATCTTCAGTCTATTTTGGTGGATTTCGACGAGAAAGAAAACAAGGCAATGTCAGTCTTCTTCATAAAGTCATGTTAGAAAATGATGTTGAGATATGATGGGCCAAACTGACCCCATCTATGCCTGTAGAGGCACTCATGAAGAGCTTTGCCCACCAAAAAAATCCATGCAAATTAGGCTAAGCCGGATCTGAGATCCAACCACGCGCGTCATTTCATCGATTCATAATATCTCTTTCGGTGGCTGGAAGCAAGGCTTTTTTGAGTAACACTTGAAAAAACTTGATAGGTAGAAAGTCTCGAGCGTATAGAACAATTTGATATATGATTTGTAAGAAAATCATGCAATTTAAAATGACGTCGACTTAAAACGTTCCTCGAGTCCTTGCTTCCAAAGTCACGATTTACATCCTCGAGTAACGGGCTTTGTGCATGTTTTTATCCATACCTTTTTTTACCTTCGATGAATGTCTTTTTAATTCCTCCAATTTAAAGGGGATAATTTGTACACCAAAATTATGCAAAAAATATAGGTCACCGTGCACGTTCAAGAGCCAAAGACCATAGTACCTAATTAAATGGTCCATTGATTGAAAAACAATATCGTGTTCTCGGAATGAGCGCGCTTATTCGTTGATGAAGTGATTTTTTATGCGCATTAGAGGGTGCACAGCGCAATACCCAGGATTCACCTTGACCCGTTTACTCCCTCCCCGTTACTGTCTGTCACACAATTTTCATGATGTCAGTACGAAGAATTTGGGATTGGATCAACTAATAATCCCCTAATTGATATTTTCCGTATTCTCATCACTTGTCTGCTTGATACTGTGTTGATATTGTAAGGAAAAATTAAGTCTTGGTCACTCAAGGCAGTCAAAGGCTTAATGTACATTTTTATATAGATAGTTTTCCATGAAATCCTATTCCCACTGCCGTTAAAAATTCTGGCGCAATAACAAACTGTTCAAGTTTGTTGTTTTCTTTAAAAAAAAAAAAAAAGAAAAAACAGTATGCATATGTTCTTTCCACTTCATTTATTTATACACTTCTGTACAAAATCCTAACAATTCTAAATTAATTGATTCAAGGTCTTACTTCGTTGAAAATATTAACTTAATTTTTTTTCTATTTTTTTTTAAAACAAACCTATTGACATTTACAAACTTATAAATAAATTAATATTTCCAATTTTTTTATCAATAAAAAAATGAGATGTATCTTACTGCAACCCGAACTCCCTGGAAGTCGCCGAACAGAACTCACCATTTCTTCTGATAAAACTTGGAATAAAAAAGTAACACGCCTTAATTTTTCGCTTGCACTTTAGCTTCCTTAAGTTTACAGTCTGACGGGAGAGTCTAGCATACGTAAACTTTTCTTAAATACACAGCAGGCGTTTACTGTTCGCAATGCTTTCATTGTACACTAGTGAGCAATAGGGAAAGCACCTGACCTGTGACAAACAATTTTAAACTCAATATAAACTTCTATAAAAATAATAAACTCAAAACTTCAATGTCAAATTCTTCTTCCAATTTGCGATCCATGAAACTAAAGAAATCGAGGTCGAAGGTACGATCACAGCGCAGTAACTAGAGAGTTTATGCAATGGAATCCTGATATTTTCTGTATGATAAGGAGAGGCCTAGTCCAACCATTTCTACAATGCATACACCAAAAGCAGTTTACATCGCGCTCAAGTTTGAGATTCCAAGTATATTATGTATATGTTGTTACCTTGACAGAATTGGGAGAAAATACATAATTGCGGGTTCTCGATCCGTGGTTACACGATTGCTCAACAATCATTTAAACGCGCTCATTTACAGTTCGAGCGAAGTTGCGCTATGAAACGCTATAACTTGACACTTTGTTTCCCTATCAAGTCCTTGGAAGGTAGCAGGCACAATAACGCCCATCTAATTTTCAATCTTTACTCTCGGACTATACGCACGTCGAGGCACATCGCTTGGTGGTTCTTATTCGTGTAGCCTTTGGTGCCGAGGAACTCGTTGTCTGTTCGGTGTGGGTCCCTAACACGCTCGCGAAACAGATACCACTTTGGCCAATGGGAGTTAAGCCATCCTCAGTCCCAGGTAACCTCATAAGGACTGTGAGCACGGACGCTTTGCCGTTTTCACAGGTTTCCACAGCAACAGGTCCAGGGGTGGACTGAAGCATCACATAAAAGAATAGAATGGTTAGAGCATGGTTATATTCTAACTTTACTTACCTCCGACAGTTCTTTTGAACATGACACGAAAATGACCACCTCAGAATTACACTAACAACAAGGCAGAACGGTGTTCACCATTTCATTTTCACGAGAAAAAGAAAAGTCAGTATTTTCAAAGAGTTTGGGTAAGTTTTATTACTTCAAACCCAAATGATTTGCATACCAAAAGTGTTAATTTGGAAGGTTCGTGTAAATGGTACTATTGTACCTAAGATTTTCACTTTAACTTGAGGAGCGGAGCCATTAAAAGAAACAAGCAGCTGAGGCAGCAACTGTTTTAATGCAAATTGACCCAAAGCCTACCAGCGTTGTACCACAGAACAAGAGAACAAGAGAACAGCCGCATCACTGTTCATTCTCATAATGTCATGGCAGTTATGTTGCTCGCTCAAGTCAGAGTAAAAATGGGAATCTGCTCTTATATTCCGAGTTACTTTTCCTTTCAATAATCATCTTCAGAAAGTGAAGGAAACCCACTCTTCACGAAGGAGGAAACGCTGACAATTTACCATAAACGGAGAGGGGACAATATGCCGGGCCATGGTGGGTAAGCCGACAACACGGATTACAGACGAAGATTTGTTTTCTACGAGAAATGACGCAAAATCGTAATGAACCCAATTTACAGTGAAATGTACCAACCTTATTATGACTATGAAGCACAACTGAAACTTTAGCAAATGGACGGCTAGCCATCTTTTGTCTTTCCTTCCGTCGTTGCTGAAAAGAGAAAAAAGAAAACCGTTTATTGATGACTCATGTGCCGCCAATTTCATCAATGACAGAAATTCAACTACCAAAAACCCAAGGTTCTTACCCTATTCAGGATGTAAGAGATGTAGCGATTCCTCACTTTCCACACGATTCCGGCCACGACAAGCAACGACAGAAAACAGCTAAGGAGGAGGACTACCATAAGTTATCACGAAAATTTGAGGTTAACATTTTCATAGACATCCTAAAAGTGGAGTCATCATTTGACCTTTCACTCCCAGGATCTTATTAGTAATTCTCCTTACAGTCTACCATAATAATAATAATAATAATACTAATAATAATAATAATAATAATAATAATTAATAATATAGTATTTCTGACCACTTGCAGCCTAAGGCTGAATTACGGCTGCAGTGTAAGGTTGAGAACAGACGTCAGCATATCAGGCGCCTCTGGCAGCCGCTTCAGTTCATCGATCTCACCTTCCCACCCATCCCACCCCAGGGGAGGACATCCATCACACTGTAATCTCGTGTGTGGGAAATTAACGTCTCCTACCCCAACCCTGCAGGAGACGGGACCTCCATTTATTCGTCCCTATCCGAGAAGACTAGAATATTTAACCATTTCTTGATGTTATAGAAAGGTAGCAAATTCTTCTCAATTATTTTAAGACCCTGAGTGTTGGTCCGGCCGGGGCTCGAACCCTCGACCTCCCGCACAACAGTCCAGCGGTCTATCCATTGAGCTAACCGGGAGGCGGTTACCATACAATTCTTAATGTTGTTAGTTTGGCGAATTTGGTAATGGATCAACTACTTATCTCCGAATTCATGTTTTTCTTTATTCTCGTTACTTGTCAGCTTCATGTTGCACTGCTATTGTCATTCTTTCTTGGTCAATAGAGAAAAACTGTCTAACGACCTGTTTAAAATATGCGACAAGGGGTTCAAACTGGTGAAAAAAGGGAACACAGAGTGCAAACTGAATTACAATACAGTGGTGACTACGCCAGAGCATGCAGTGTAAGATGGTGAGAACGACGGGTAGGTCTTCGGCAATTATTTCCCAGCTCACAATCTCTATTTTCCACTTTGGAGATTTTCTGCTCTCTGTGACTGGTCTAAATCCTAACGCTATTACCAAAACCATTGAGATGCCAGACTTAATCTAAGCGCGACTTAGTTGCTCAAAATTCTCGTATTTGAGACAATTTACCCATATTTCCTTTAAGTTCTCATCAAACTCATCTGATCAGTTTTCATTTATTTTGACTTCACTTTGTAATAACGAAAGACTTTCAATCAAACTGCGTTCTAGTGCAGCAGTCCTGGCCTAGTGACACGACATGGTGACGGAAGAATGCACCGAACCCGGATACCACGTTGTAAAGCTCGATAACCGAACCATATCACCCTGCAGGTTAAAAAGGATACCCTTGAAACAGGGGAGCGAAGTTGAGTTGTGATAGCCCAAGACGAAGAAAAGCTATTTGCTGTTAAGTAAGAAAATATAAACACGGTGGAACTTACCCAAAAAATGTAAGAAAGAATTCCAGGAGATCAATGGTTTCCGCCTGATTTTCGATCTTAATCTGTAATAGTAAAAATAGTGGGTAACAGAAAACTTACTTAAAGTGGTCTCGCTATGAATAAGAGCCCTCTGGGTTTTCGAAAATAGCCGAACAAAAGGGAGCATATGAACGGATAGATAGCAACATTTGAAGCTGATTTTTGTAATACAGTGCAACAGGGTGGGTGTTAAAGAAAGACAGTGTTGTTGGCCTTGTCAAGAGCGTAAGTCAAAGAAAAAATTTTGAGTCCCTATGAGGCGACCTTCGGATTCTGCGCTCCGATGCTCTACCACTGAGCCACAGAGACTCTATGGTGCCGGTGAGTGTTGTTGAATAATAATCTGACTCTGTCACTCCGGGGATTCTTTCATACCATCCTACACCGCAAAACTAAGTTTTTCCTAATATTACTTCAGTACTAGAGAGTTATTCCCAAATGGTCGACAGCTGACGCAATAGCGATTGTGACTTACACGAAGAACGGCTCCTTCATCACCAGACTCGATGTCATAAACATATCCTCTAATAGTAAAGTCCTTATCACGACCAAACTCATACTCATCATAAGGAAACTTAGTCTGGAAGGGAACCAGCTCATGAACGTCCTTCATTTTCTCTCCCTTTTCCGGCTTTTCACCTGAATAAAAAGGGAAAATTTACCTCGTAAAACAGTTCCTATACGAAAAATACTCGCATAGCTTCCAGAGCTTATCCTGGTTTCCAAAGCATGAAGCGAAAAGAACTATTGTTGCTCCTCCTTCCGCATAGGATGCTTTTCCAATCTCACCCTACCCCCCCTCCCCCTCACAGTGCTTTGTTGGTTTCCCTATGACAGTTTGCTGGTAGAGATTCATGCTCCGTACCCAACAATTCATATCCGTGTATAAATAAAGTTACTATTCATTCATCCATTCACTCCTGGGTAAGCAGACGAGAGCCCAAGAGTGAAGTCTGGACTTGAGGGTCAACAACAACTAGGAAATGGTTTTCAGTCACTTTCCAACTTAAAAAGGGAGATTAAAAGAAAAAAAAAAGCGAAAGCTAACTGACAATAGCTGCGTAAGCTTCTACACAACGTTGGTCCATACTTACTATCGCACGTGGTTATGTTCAACCACGCCTTTGATCCTTTGCCGCTATCCATCCATTTAATCTCAAAGTCAACAGTACGCTTTTCCTGAAAATAAAAGTTATCGCTCTGTCGATATCTATAAAGTAAAGTTTGACTGAGCCTTATACAAGCAATAAAATCAGAAAAACCTGTCTAGAAAAAAGAAAACGCCGGTACCAACTAGGGATCAATATACTTTCCTAACCGTACTTGCTTACTGATTTTTTCCTCTATGATCGGGGGATCGAAAACGAAAGACGGGCGAGACAGGCCCTTTTTCGTAATGATCAGTGGAATCACCGCTCCGCAGGTCACTGGCTTCATGTCGTCTAGGGGAAGAGAATTTCTTGCTTACACCTAAGTACAACCTATCTTCTGCCAAGCGTGAAAGAAAACAGAAAATTTAAGGAATTTTTCAATACAACGCATTTGACCTGGTAGAGCTATGCACGCGTTTTGAGTCAACATTCTAGCGCAGAAAACGTTTCAAAGTGTGGTTTCCATCTCACCACTACGATGCCTTTGATCACAAAAAATTAGTTAAGGGATCGTAGCGCCTACGTTGAAACTATCTATTACCTCACGAAACACAACAACTTACAAGTCTGGTTGTATACTGAAAATTGAAGATCTTGAATCCTGTTACATTGAATTCTTTCCAAGCTCCAGATTGAAGAATATCTAGAAATAAAGAAAACATGATTCTTCTTCAGAATTTGTTTCCCGCGAAGTTTGCAATAGAGTACAACACTAATGAAATTATGGTTTCATCAACTGAGTTGATAATTAAAAATTACTCGCCGAAGGCGAGGTGAATATCGTCGAATAATCCCCGAGACGAAGTCGAGGGGTTTATTCGACAATATTCACCGAACCTGAGGCGAATAATTGTTTTAGTATAATTTCAGAGCTGAACAACAGAGAAATTTCTAAAATCATAACATTTTAGTAACATTTATTAACATTTTATTTTAACATTTTGTATAAACCGCGTGGGGCGGTTTATAAAGCGTCATACGAGGAACCGCTCGACCAATCAGATTGCTGGAAATTCTTTGGTCAGCTCTGAAATTATACTAATGTAAATTGACCACCGTTAAAAGTTTTAAAGCTGACGTTTCGAACCGGTTAGAGCGAATGGCGAAGGGCCAACGCTCGAAACGTCAGCTTTGAAACTCTTTACGATGGCCACTTTACATTATCAACTCATTTGATCAAACCAAAATTACCTTTGTTACTCACACCGACGCAGCACCACAGTTTCTATAGAAACGTACCCCCTTTATACAGCACTAAACGAGTTAGAAATGGCGAATCTGTTATCCTAATCCGCCGCATCGTTGCTACTTTCTAGGATATCCACAACTGATAACATAGGAACCCTTATTTCTCGTGACTGGGCCCTTTATCTCGAACAACAAAAAAAGATGGGTAATTTTGAGTTTTGAACACCACGTCACTCGCATTCACGGCTCTGTTTTGACTCTGTTGCACATTTGTAGTGTATTTTACCTATGCTTCCGAAAGGGTATTATACAATCCATGTGCCTTAATGCCAACCGATTTTCAATTGCGTAGGAAAATGAAAATCAAATTTTATTTTCGTTTTCCGTTTTTCTTTGCGCTGTAAAAAGAAAAAAATTAGACTTCCATTTTCGTTTTTTCCCCCCGCCGGAAAGGAAACAGCATTCGAATACACTTTATGTTCTTCTTTTTTCTTTTTCTGTAGCTCTTAAATAAAACGGATTATAATTTTCTTTTTGCTTTTTTGGTTTTTCGTTTTCGTATGGAATTTGGAAAACGCCGTTCTACAGGTCGGAAAACGAGGTTTTACAGGTCGTTTTCCCATATTCCTTTTTCTGTAGCTCTTAAAAAAAACGGTAATGGAAGTCCAGTTTCATTTTTTTATAGCGCATAGAAAAACGAAAATAAAATTTGATTTTCATTTTCCTACGCTATTGAAATTCGGTTGGCACTGAGGTACACGGATTTTATACCCTGGTACAAAATTCGTCTAGCTATAACAAAACGAGAACAATCTTTGTCACATCATCCCAAATGATATTGGAACAGAATGAGCCAAAGAAAACAAGCAGTCTGCGAAAGGGCAGGTGAGGCCCTCCAAAAGGGTTGCTCTGTTTGCCTCACAATTAAGATGGCAATTAAAGTTTATTTTTAATTCGTACTGAAAAATAATCGTCGCAACACGTTAGAGCATAGATTAGATAAGTAATTACTAAATTTGAAGCCAACACAACTTTAATGATCTGAGATTATTTATATCTAGAATAACCCAACAAATAGTAGGTTCCAAAACATACATTTGTTTATCATCGTCATTTCGAAAAATTTTTTTTCGGCCAATAAGACACGTGACGAAATGAAACTATAAGAGTTACTACATGACGCGAATGGCACTAAATTTGATTCTGATATGACTTTCCTCTACATCTAGACATTTAGTGGTTCTAATGCCCCCTCCCC